GCATATATAAGCAGTCAGAACTGCTGAGGGACACTCTCAGACCAGCCGAGATGCCTAGAAGAGGCTCAAACCAACAGAACCACCTAGGAAAGACTTTCTTCCACCTGGTCATGTGCCTGCTGTCTGCTCCGGTGGGCAGCCCCAGTAACTCTCCTTGGCTCAGCAGGGTGTACTTTGGCAGTGTCCCGTCTGCCACCAGCTCCCTATCGGGGTGAGCAGACATTTGTTCACGTCTCTCCAGGAAAAGTGTCACATACCTCTGTGCAAGGAACAAGCAGATCACCTTGTTAAATACTGAGTGCATGCTGGCTACTCAAGTATTAGGGGAGAAAGGTAGGAAACTCCTACCTATTAATGCTGTGGGACAATGGTCTGTACACTGTCAATTGTATTTTAATAAAACTCTGATTGGCCAGGAGCCAGGCAGGAAGTAGAGGTGGGACAACCAGGCAGGAAGTAGAGGTGGGGCAATGAGAATTCTGGGAAGAGGGAAGTTTCAGGCTGCAGAGGATGCAAGGTGTGATTGCCCGTTTTCATACCACACCTTCCCTTCTGGATTTTGAGCTTTTCCAACAGACGTGCCAGGGGCAGACACAGGACATGCTGCATTCACATGCCTCGTAAGTGACAGACTGAGAAATTCCCTGTGGTCACTGAAGCCAATCGCATGTGAAGAGAGAGTGAGTGAATAGGACTGTCCCACTTTTGGGAGGGCAGAAACCAGGGCAGCCTGGGAACACAAGAAACAGGAACTGCACTACGTAAACTTATAGTTGGACTTTTTTTTATCAGGGACCATCAGCTCCCCAATAATGATACAGAGACAGTTGGGGGATGTCTCCTGCCCCACAGGAGTTTCCAGAAAATTTCCTCAGATCCATGGCTGTCCTTGTTTCTCTGTTCAGCGCTAACCCAAGTGTGCAACCCAAGCGCTCTCGCGCGCGCTCTCTCTCTCTCTCTCTCTCTGCCTCTGTCTCTCACTGTCTTTGTTTCTCTCTATCTCTGCCTCTCCCTGTCTTTCTCTTCCCACTCCTCCCTGAGGTAGGGTCTTGTCTTGCTGTGTAGCGCAGGCTGGCCTGAGACGTACATTATCCCAGCCTCGGCCTACCAAGTGCTGGGACTACAGTTATGAGCCACCATATCCAGCTTCAGCCTCGGCGTCTTTCCCTGACCTCCCCAACAAGCAGGCTGCCTCCTGCAGTCCGATCAGATTCCTCCTGTGTTTCTGAGAAGAGTCTCACACAGAGAATGCCTCACAGTGCAAGCCTACCCCAGAGCATTGCAGGCCTCACAGGAGTGAAATAGCTTGTCCTGGGCAGAATACACACCTGTTCCTGCCCCGGAGTGAAACCTGCCCCTGATTAGGAGGACCTTTTTATTCTATTTTATTTTACTTTATTTTTGTCTTTTGTAACAGACTTACACTGTAGCCTAGCCTGTCTTGAACTCACAGAATCCTCCTGTCTTCACCTCCCAAGTGCTAGGATTACAGGAGTGAGACACAGGCAGGCAGTTTGTGGAGCCATTTTAGCAACCTGGGACTTCTGCCTGCACTGAACTTTACACACACCTCTCTCCAAACAAAACAACCAGTCACTGCCCTTAACTCCCTGACAACTTCCCTTAGTGCTCAAACACATCTGGAACATATCCTGGAACCATCAGGGAGATGATCGCCCTGTACTAATTTGGGGAGCATGAGCAGTAAATTGTTTCCTATTCGAGAGGGGCGGGAGAGATAGCTCAGGGGTTAAGAACATGTGCTACTCTTGCGGAGGACCCCCATCAGGTGGCTTACAACTGCCTGGAACTCCAGCTTGAGGGGATTCGTCACCTCTGTCCTTTGGAGGCACTGATTCAAATGCGCATACTCCTGCACACACACACACACACACACACACACACACACACACACACTTAAAAACAAGAAAATTTGGGGCTGGAGAGATGGCTCAGAGGTTAAGAGCATTGCCTGATCTTCCAAAGGTCCTGAGTTCAATTCCCAGCAACCACATGGTGGCTCACAACCATCTGTAATGAGGTCTGGTGCCCTCTTCTGGCCTGCAGACATACACACAGACAGAATATTGTATACATAATAAATCAATAAATAAAAAAAAAACAAGAAAATTTAAAGTTCCTTTGGGCAGTAAATGGTGGTTGTTGCAAAAGCTCCCAACTGGTCACAGTTGGAAATAGTGTCCATGGTGTGCCCAACCACACATGGAGCATCCGCATCACCCTCCGAAGAGGAGGACCCCCTCCACAGGGGAAGGAGAAAGACTGAAAGACAGGAGCAAGCAGTGACTTCTGGGGGTACCAGGAGCCTTGTGCTCATGAGCTCACAGCTGACCGACACAAGGCCTGCACAAGATCAAGCCAATCAGCATGGACCAGGAAAAGTCTCACAGACTCCCTACCCCGGAGGAGCTGTGGACACTGGATGACTTTGGGGGGAAGAAGAATCCGTTTTCATTAACAGTGGAGCTCCTAGTAGATCAGCCATGCCCCCGTAGATGACCCTGCGCCCACAGGTATATTGGCAACACTGATGGGGGTTCATGGGTTACTAAAAATAAAATAAAAGTTGAAGGGGACGGGGGTTGAGAGTAGATTGGGAGGAGTTAATATGATCAAATACAGTGTGTGAAATTCTCATTAATAAAATGTGCATAGTGAGCAAAGGCTTATATAACCCAAGCCTGTGAATCAAAATAAGAAACCACACATGTCTACCTCCTGGCTGCCAGCTTTTCTTTCTCTTGGGCCCAAACACTAATCCAGGGCGCTTGAGCAAACCTTACTTGGGCCTAATGGTCGCTGACAGATCATCTGCTCTGTACTTTTGCTTTTGAAGAAGCCTCGTCATTGCCTGTTGTTTATGTGGGCTTCTCCGACTCTCTGAACCAGGGTCCAAGAACCTGGAACACCCGGTTCAGACACCGACTGCAGGTGACAGCTCTGCACACAGCTTTCCTCCCAAAGCTCTACCATTCAAGCGTCCTGGGAAGAAAGGGTCGGGGACAAAGGCAGCAGTGCCCCTGCTCACAATCTGTGCAGAGATTTGGGAGACCCATGAAGGCATGTATCCCAACAGCTACTCGACTTCACCACCCTCTGGACAGACTGGAAGGCTTTGGGGAGGGGCATGGAAGGGGTCCAGGCTATCATAACATCTGAAGGGAACCCCAAAGAGAAAATGTGACATCAATCCATGCCTGGCCTTTGGTCCTGATGAGACAGTTCTGAGATACAAGCTACGACCCTACTCTGGGGAACATGTCCAGACCTTAGTCTAGAACTGGGGTGCATCCCCATTCTCCCCTCTGCCTGCTGCCTGTTCATCCATCCTCTGCCTCCCGATGCCATCTCTTTCTTGTTTTATTTTTCCTCTCTTCAGTGATTATTTCTTCCTCCCTCCCTTTCTTCCTTTCTTCTTTCTCTTTTGATGGTTGTATCTATGAGGCTATAGACAAACTTTTAAAAACAAGTTAGGGCCAGGTGGACCAGTGTAAACTTGGGACCCCAGCATTTAGATCTTTAGGTAGTGACAGCAAGTGGGTCTGAGCTTCAGACTGGTTGTTGTTGTTGTTTGTTTTGTTTCGTTTTTCAAGACAAAATTTCTCTGTGTAGCCCTGACCATCCTGGAACTCATTCTGTAGACCAGGCTGGCCTTGAACTCACAAATATCCACCTGCCTCTGTCTCTGCCTCCCGAGGGCTGGGATTAAAGGTATGTGCCTCTACTACCGCTGCCCAGCTAAATTGCAACAACAACAACAACAATAATAATAATAATAGCTGGGCAGTGGTGGCGCATGCCTTTAATCCCAGTCCTCGGGAAGCAGAGGCAGGCAGATCACTGAGTTCGAGGCCAGTTAGTTTCAGGACAGGCTCCAAAGCTACAAGAAACCCTGTCTCAAAAAACAACAACAATAATAATAATATAAAATCGAAGTTCAGCCAAGGTTTTCTTATTTGGAGATGACCACCATTTTAGACAAGTCCCCCTCACAGGTTTTCTCTACACATAGCTACATGCTTACCATCAAATCAGGATTTCCAAAGATAGCATTCCGTTGTCCCAGTAACTCCAGAAAAAGTCAAGGGGTTAGGAGAACTATGGAGAGGCAAGGCTTGCCTGTCACCCCCTGGAGAAAGGGGACTGGAAAGAACCTGAATCCCGGCTGTCTAGAGCAGTGGTTCTCAGCCTTCCTAATGCTGTGACCCTTTAACACAGTTCCTCCTGTTGTGCTGACCCCAGCCATAAAATTACTTTTTGCTGCTTCATAACTGTAATTTTGCTACTGTCGTGGATTGTAATGTAAATGTTTTTGGAGACAGAGGTTTGACAGAAGGCTTACGACCCCACGTTGAGCACTGCCGGTCTAGAAGATGGATCACGCAGGACAAGGGCAGACCGAGTCTCCTTTCCTACCCCATTCCCCTCAGGGAGTCTGGTTAGGGATGCGACCATGAGAAAGCTTTAGCTGTACCTGTCCTCAGCTGAGAGCTGGACAGGAAGCATTTCTGTTCTCCCCAGCCCTGGACAGGCTTCCTCTGGAAGGAAACTGGTAGAAGCCAGATGGGACCAGACCCCACTGGGCAGAACCGGGAAGACAAGCCTGCCACGTCCCACAGCCTGCCTCCCTCCACCTTGCATCTGTACCAATTCCCATTCTCAGATGTTGTCTGAACCTTCAACACCTCCACCCAAGTTGAGCTGGAAGGGCATCCTGGCCAGATAGATCAGGAAGGATCTCTGGGGTTAGCTGGGGACATTTCAGTGACGTCATTTTCACTATGACAAGCAGTTCACTTCCAAGGTCTCTAAAAATATTAAGCTTATTACAGAATATTCAAAGACTGTACATTTTTATGTCACCTTCAGCCTGAAGGTCAGAAGGTCCCCACAGAAGTGGTCACTGAAAACTAGTTGCCATCTTCGAGTTGTTCTTAAACATAAATAGAATATAAATGAATGTGAACTCTGTGTTTCAGTTCCGCAGAAACTCTCTGCCACACCCAAGCCTTTCTCCCACCAAGCCTACAAAGACTTGCAGCGTGATGCCTGGGCGGCAATGAGGAGACACCACATCAGTGCCGAAAGTCTGGCGGCTGCACAGTCTACTCAGCTTTCCCACCGGCAGTCCTCAGGGCCCTGCAGACAGAGCCCATCCACCTTCTCCCACTGTGGGACCTTGGCAGAGTCACCAGCCCACCTGAGTACCTGCCTCATGCTAGGAGGATTAAGTGAGAATCTGTATGGAAGGCTTGACGGAGCTCCCTGATTCACAGAAGACCCAGAGTAATTAAAGTCATGATTATTATCTCAAAAGGTGGATGAACTGGGCTAGAGTTTAGCTCACTGGTAGAGCACTGGTCTAGCATGTCTAATAACCTTAGAGGTAGAGCACTGACCCTAGGTTTAATAACCAGGCCACAAAACACCCTATAGAGTCTTGGGGTCACATCTTGTCCCATTGAGGGACACGGGGCCAGATCCTGGTTTCCCAGTTCGTTCATTCAATAAACAAGGCTACTTTGTTTGGAAGAAGGGCAGTGTTGGCCCTCACTGCTTAAGTCACTGCAGCAGCCTCAGTACCACTGAGACTCTTGCTTCCTGTCGCTAAGATTAATATATAGATATATAACCTTATTTCAGCCAATTTAGAAAATTAGAGGTCAAATTAAGAAACTGCCATTAAATATGCTTTGTATCTCTGACGCCATGCCAAGCAAATAAGACAGCAGCCGTGCTCGAATATTCTCTCCAAGGACACCAGAAACTGAGATCCACAAATGTTTATTGAATTAGGAACGATCACCTCATCCAAAGAAGATAATGATGATGATAATAACAGAGCCCAGGTTTTCTAGAATATTTAACACTAGGAAGGGGGATGTCAAATCCTTCCAGAGAGCGCTCCTGTCCTCTCTGTTCCCCCTTTTAGCTGTCTTCCCACTCTTTGGCTGAACCCCTAATTTTTTAAAGATTTATTTATTCATTCATTTTATGTATATGGGTGCTTTGTCTGCATGCATGCCTGCACACTAGAAGAGGGCATCAGATCGCATTACAGACAATTGTGAGTTGCAGTGCGGTTGCTGAGAATTGAACTCAGGACCCCTGGAAGAGCAGCCTGTGCTCTAAACCTCTGAGTCATCTCTCCAGCCCCTGAACCCCTAATTTTTTAAGAAGCGCAGAGAGTGTCAGTCATGCTGATTTCAGCCCCTTGCTGACAGAGCATTCATCATAGGCACATGTTTTCCAGCGTGATCACTGAAGCGGCTGAGCTGAACTTCTGCTTCCCAGATGTGGACGTGAAGGCTCAAGCAAGGTCACACAGTACAGCTGGAAGCCCATGGTGCCAGTCCTCCATCACCTTCGCCACCCCGCTCTCTTCCAGTCTCCCATGACTCTGCCTCTCTGACATCTTCCCCTTCGCGGCTAGAAATCGGGTATCCCAAACATCTGGGAGGAGATGCCTCTGAGAGTTCCCTTCGTGAACATAGACTTTCTTTTCAGACACCTTTGTGAACTGGCCCAGCTGTTTCTTCCCTCTCCTTTCTCTGTGCCCTCCATGCAGGGAGCTTAGTGGTAAATGCTGGGGAAACACCTCTGGCCCCCAAAGGTACGATGTTTTGTCAGGATTCATCCAGGGGTTTTCCTGTCTTGGTTCTAATGGACCATCTCTAGAGGAAAGCACTAGTGGTGGGGGTGGGGATCATTTCACAAGCCAGCCTGCCCTCTGCTGGCCAGAGCTGGAAACTGGTTCGTTCATCGGGGAAACCCTTCACCTGAAACTGCTCCTCCACCTGCAGTCCTGTGACACAGTCCACCTGAGTCTTTTCTGACAGCATCTTTCTGCCCTTGCTCTTCTTAGCCACAGGAGCACCCCCAGAAGGTCCCCTCCAAAACCTCTGCTTCCTGGAGCCTTCCCCCAGCTTCCGTCAGTCAGAGTGGTTGGCAGCATACAGTCTTGCTGTGGGGTGTGCCCCTGTCTGACCAGGAGGTAAGTGCTTCTAGGGTTCAAGCCCCTTGGGAAGAAGGTTCGGATGGTTTTCAGAGAAGCCAGAGAAGCTGTCTGGTGGCTGAGAGCTAACTCACTCCCAACCCACACACGGACTCAGCATACGTCTCTTAAATGATTTTAGGATCTCTGCACTGGATGGGAATGTTGGGCAGCTATACCCACACTAGCTAGCAGGGAGAACACTGAGGAAGGACCCCTCCCTCATGGCATCCTCCTTGAACATTTATCAGAGAGCCTAACAGGTGTCCCCTGATCGGCTCTAGCAGTCCAAGTCCAGGTCAGTTCCCTAGCCGCTGCTGCCCTGCAGGACTGCCGGGATCCCCATCTCCTGGCAGCTACCCATGAGAAATCTGGGCACGTCTGGATGAACAGTGATGCATCTTTACCAAGAAGTCAGCTCTGGGAAGAGAAGAGACACAAAGATGAAGAGATAGAGCCGTTGCTCTCAACGGGCCCCCAATTCATGGCCAGCCCTCCAGCCTCCCATCCCTGCCGTACCCGTAGCCTTCTACCCTGTCATATGGGGGCTCCTCTTTCTCCCTTAAAAGTCTTTTGTAGACCTACCTTTGTGTGTGTGTGTGTGTGTGTGTGTGTGTGTGTGTATAAGTGTTTTTGCTGCCATGTCTGCTTGTGTACCTCTAGAACTGGAATAAGGTGAGCCACCATGTGGATGCTGGGAATCAAGCCCCAGTCTTCTACAAATAAAGAGATTGTTCTTAACTGATGACCCCTCCCGGTGGCCCCTCCTTTCCTCTCTTATTTAACCTCTTCCAGAAATTTCCTGAGTGACCTCCATGAATGCATCAGAGCCATCTTCCTTCTTCAGGCTCCTCATCCCCAAAGCCAAAGTGGTATAATAGACAGTATTGCCCCTAACTACAGAAGGAACAAGGGCACCACACAGAAGCAGCCCCCACCCTGTGACTGTTTCCCACCCCCCACTCCTGCCCTGTGACGACATTCCAGCTGGGATGGCATCCCCTGACCTGACTGCCACTCAGTTTTACAGAGTCAGTTTCCTGTTGCCATTCCTGCTGCGGTCCTAACTTAACTATTCACGCTTGCAGTGAATCGGACCTTTGTCCCCTCAACCTGAATAAAAACCCCAGCCTGTAACAGAAGTTTGTGCTTCTGCCTACTTTTGTGAGTGAACTTCTCAGGTTTACTCTGAAATAAAACTGTCCCAACTGGTAAGCCATCTTACAGTGACATACCCCTAAAATACCAGTGCTCAGAAGTCTGAGGCAAGAGAATGTCAAGTTCAAAAGCAGCCTGGCTACATAGCAATATTTGTCTCATTAATTAATTAAATGGATTGGGTATATACCACAATGCCAAAGCCCTGGATTCAATCCCAGCATGACAAGAGTAAATACACAGAGAGAGAGGTCTCACCCTAAAGGAGCATGTCTGTGTATTTTCAAGCGATGTAGACCAATTCTGCAACCTCCTCTATTCCAGTCTCTGCGTTGGCAGCATGGAATAGTGAAGCCAACCTCAAGAGGGACCATAGTTGCACCCACTGATGCTAGCAGCCCTTACGTTTCTTATTGTTTGCACATGGATTCCTGGTCTTTCTCCTAGCACAGCGCTGCGTTCTGCCCGTCATGTTTGGTTTGTTTTCTTTGGTTTTGTGTTGAAGATAGAACTAGGGGCAAGTGTTCTTCCATTAAGCCACACTCAAAACATAGAAAAGAGATTGCCTTCTGCCTGAGCCAAGGACGAGCCAATCTGCCTTCCCTGGCTGCCGTGATCTCTTGACACCTTTTCCTGTGACTGGGACTCGTTTATTCTGATTCTGGCTACCGTGCTGGGCAGGGCTTTGATGGCCAGCAGGGCTCTTCATTGAGCTGAAAAGCGTGTGAAACATGGAGCCCTGTGACACAATCAGTGCCATCGCCGTTCTGAAATATGCTTACATTTGGAAGCAGTTTGGGCTGTCATTTTTGATCACACAGCTCAGCCATCTCGGAATTCAGGACCTTGAGATCTGTGTTCTCCTGTTCAAGCATGCAGGGATGAGCGGTGACTCCACACCTGCTGGAGTAGGAATCTGCCCCACGAATCAAATTCACAGTGGCTGCCCATCACCCTCAGCCTTTCCATAGGATGGGGTCAAATTATCACTCATGACAAAAAAAAAAAAAAAAAAAAAAAAACCTTGAAAGTGACTGGCATATCCTTTATACCCAGGAACTCAGGGGAGGCTGGGGTAGGCAGAACTCTGTGAGTTCAGGGCCAGCCTGGTATATATAGTGAATTCCAAGCCAACCAGAGCTACCCAGTGAGACCCTGACTCAAAAAAAAAGGCCATGAGATTATAATAATTTTAAAATAATAAAAATAGTCTTGTTAGCTGGTGAGACGGCTCATGGGTAAAGGCCCTTATTGCATGTAAGAAATATTAGGCATGAGTCTTCTCTATCAAATACTATAAATTGATGTCTAGGACAGAATTCACATCTTCTTATCTCTCCCACCTTATAAGGCTTTTCTGAAGATTGACCAATCAGATAAGACTGTGAGATCTGACCCAGCCAATGAGAAGAAGGTGTAGCCACAACCTGAGTTAGAATAAACTCATGAACAGGTAGAAGGAAAAAGCTAATGCACACCGTAGCATGTGCCCAGGATCACACACACACACAGATGACAATGACAATGTGCGCAGGATCACACACACACACACACACAGATGACAATGACAATGTGCCCAGGATCACACACACACACACACAGACAGATGACAATGACAATGTGCCCAGGATCACACACACACACACACAGATGACAATGACAATGTGCCCAGGATCACACACACACACACACACAGATGACAATGACAATGTGCCCAGGATCACACACACACACACACACACACACAGATGACAATGTGCCCAGGATCACACACACACACACACACACAGATGACAATGTGCCCAGGATCACACACACACACACACACAGATGATGATGATGATGATCATGATCATGATCATGATGATGAATATTTTTTTTTTTTTTTGGTTTTTCGAGACAGGGTTTC